GTGCCATGCCATACCTGTGTGTGGTTACACACCTGTGCCATGCCCCCGTGCTATGCCCATGCCATACCCACGCTGTGCCATTCCTGTGCCCGCTGCCCTGCCCAGCCGGTGGAGGTGAGCGGGGCCATCGAGGAGGAGTTCGCGGTTGCCCGGCTCTACATCAGCAAGATCAAGTCGGAGGTGAAGTCGGTGGTGAAGCGCTGCCGGCAGCTGGAGAACCTGCAGGTGGAATGTCACCGCAAGCTGGAGGTGACGGGGCGCGAATTGTCCTCCTGCCAGCTCCTCATCTCCCAGGTGTGCCAGGGGCGGGGGCAGTGCCACTGCCATGGGGACCCTGTGTTTTGGTGGCACACGGCTGGTGGCTCCAGGGTTTGGCTGGTGGCTCAGAGTTTTGTGCCCCTGGGATTTCGTGACGCCAGGGTTTGGCAGCTGAAGGTTTTGGTGTCCCCAGAATTTGGTGGCCTGGGGGTTCTGTGACCCAGATTTTGGTGGCCCCAGGGGTTGGTTTCCCTAGGCTTTGGTGACCCTGGATTTCTTAGCCCCGGCTTTGGTGGCACCAGAGTTTATTGGCCCTGGGGTTTGGCGGCCCTGCACTTGGTGACCCCAGGGCTCAGGGGGCGCAGCGTTTGGTGGCTCCAGGGTTTGGTGACCCTGGGGTTGAACTCCCCTGTGGTGGGGGCTCGGTGGCTCTGGGCGCCCTTGGAGGTGTCGGGTGCACCTGGGGGTTTGGGGGTTGCCAGGGTGGTGCCTGCGCGGGTGTTGGGGGGTTCGGTGCCTGGGGGGGTTCCTGGAGCTGGGGTGCCCCCCGGGCCGGGGGTGCCAGTGCCCCCCGGGCGGAGGCTGAAGCCGGTGCCGGTGCCGGTGCAGCACGAGGCCAAGATCCGCTCGCTGACCGAGTACGCGCAGAGTCTGGAGCTGCGCAAGCGGCACCTGGAGGAGGCGCACGACGCGCTCGGGGAGGAGCTGGCGCGGCTGCAGGCGCAGGGTGGGGACACGGGGGGCTTGGGGCTGGGGACAG